CTCCCCCAAGACACAGCCCCCGTGGCCCCACCCCGGGGACCCCATCTCCCAGGCCCCCACTCAGATCCCGCCCCCCCCCCAAGACACAGCCCCCTGGTCCCCACCCCGGGACGCCCGCCCCCTCCCCCACTCAGACCCCGCCCCTCCCCCAAGACACAGCCCCGTGGCCCCACCCCGGGACGCCCCCCGCCCCCTCCCCCACTCAGACCCCGCCCCCTCCCCCAAGACACAGCCCCCGTGGCCCCACCCCGGGACGCCCCGCCCCCTCCCCCACTCAGACCCCACCCCCTCCCCCAAGACACAGCCCCCGTGGCCCCACCCCGGGACGCCCCGCCCCCTCCCCCACTCAGACCCCACCCCCTCCCCCCAAGACACAGCCCCCGTGGCCCCACCCCGGGACGCCCCGCCCCCTCCCCCCACTCAGACCCCGCCCCCTCCCCCAAGACACAGCCCCCGTGGCCCCACCCCGGGGACCCCATCTCCCAGGCCCCCACTCAGACCCCGCCCCTGCTCTGGAACGGGCTGCTCTGGTCCTCCAGCGTCTGGGGGGACAGCCCGGGAATCAGGCCCCCGAGACGCCCCGTCCCCTCCCCCACTCAGACCCCGCCCCCTCCCCCAAGACACAGCCCCCGTGGCCCCACCCCGGGACGCCCCGTCCCCTCCCCCACTCAGACCCCGCCCCCTCCCCCAAGACACAGCCCCCGTGGCCCCACCCTGGGACGCCCCGCCCCCTCCCCCACTCAGACCCCGCCCCCTCCCCCAAGACACAGCCCCCGTGGCCCCACCCCGGGGACCCCATCTCCCAGGCCCCCACTCAGATCCCGCCCCCTCCCCCAAGACACGAGCCCCCCTGGCCCCACGGCCCGGGACAGGCCCCCGAGACGCCCCCCCCCCTCCCCCACTCAGACCCCGCCCCCTCCCCCAAGACACAGCCCCCGTGGCCCCACCCCGGGACCCCATCTCCCAGGCCCCCACTCAGACCCCGCCCCTGCTCTGGAAGGCGCTCTGGTCCTCCAGCGTCTAGGGGGACAGCCCGGGAATCAGGCCCCCGAGACGCCCCGTCCCCTCCCCCCACTCAGACCCCGCCCCCTCCCCCAAGACACAGCCCCCGTGGCCCCACCCCGGGACGCCCCGCCCCCTCCCCCCACTCAGACCCCGCCCCCTCCCCCAAGACACAGCCCCCGTGGCCCCACCCCGGGGACCCCATCTCCCAGGCCCCCCCTCACCGGCTCGATGTCGTTCTCAAAATCCTCGTCCTCCGCCCCGATGATGGCCACGCTGGACCCACTATGGGCACCTGGTGCTGGGCCCTGGGGGCAGAGAGAGAGAGTGAGTTGGGCCCCGTAGGGGAGGGGCAGGGGCCCAGAGAGGGTACCAGGGGGAACAGAAAGGGGGAGGGATTGAGGGGCCCAGGAGGGAAGGGCCTGGGGGAGCTTCACCCCCAATTCCAACCCCCCACCTGCATGGGCGGGGGGAGGGGGCTGGGGCCAAGCAGACCGTTCAGCAATGGGGTATCGGGGGGCCCTCCGCTCCCCCCAGCCACTCACCCCGTTGTATGGCTTGTCCGGCTCCATCCTGCCCTTAGGGAGGTCCCAGCTGCCAGCTCTGGGGGGACCCACCTGCCAAGGACACCAAGGTAGGTCACGGGGGTGCAGACAGCAACCCCCTGCCCCAATCCCTCCCTGCCCCCCACTCCAGTTGAGCCTAGCTCAGCCCCCCCATGGGAAAGGCCACCCCCCACTGGTACAAACCACCCTCCCCCGCAGGGGATGTGGAGTCTGCACGTGTGTGTGGGGGGTGTTTGGTGGTACTGGGGGGGCTGCGTGTGGGGGGGCTGTCTCCTGCATACCCCACCCTCCTCGCCCGGCCCAGACATTCCAGCGCGAGCTGGAGGTGAGCGCGGGATGAATACAGGGTTTGTGTGGCACAAAGAGCCTCAGATCCCCGACCGGGCCAGGGGGGCTCCCGGCTGCCAGCTTGACTCACACCCCACCCCTGGGACAGGGCGGGAGCCCAGAGCCGGGCAGGGGGGCGGGGGCACGTCTGTCTGAGCCTGCAGAGCACTCGCCCTGGAGTCACTGCCCCCCGGTGGCTGGCTCTGGCATAGCGCCCCCCAGCCCCAGCCGGATCCTGTGGCTGTCAGTTCCGCAGGCCTGGCCGAGCACAAAAGCAACTGGGTGAGGGGTAATTTCACCCCCTCTTCTCCCTTGGGGGGTGGAAATTGGTCCCCTCACATTCCTAAAGCTGCCAGAAAGTGTTGGGGGGTGGGCTGAGGGGGCAGCAGGTGGTGGGGAGCAGGGGGGATGGCGGTGGAGGTCAGGGTGCGAAGGCAGGGAGGGGGCAGCAGGTAGGGAATAGGGAGGTAAGGATTAGGGTGCACGGAGGGGGGGAGCAGGGAACAGCCTGAGCCGGCCTTGGGGGAGCAGGATGGGGGCGCAGGGCCAATTCATCCCCCCAGCCGGGGCGCCTGTTTGGCAGCCCCACCCCCCACATCCTCCCCATCTGGTACCTGCTTCCAGGTGATGCCAAGACGAGACCACAAGCAGCAAATCCCCCTCCTCCCTGAGGCTGCAGGGCCCGGACACCTGGGTTCCTCGGTGCACCCCCTTCCTCAGCCGGAAAGGCGGCGCCGCTGGGCTGTCAAACAAAGCAAGGGCCCCAGATTATTTACAGCGAGAAACTCAGAGACTCGGCTTCCTGCAGGAAGTGATGAACCGCGGCCACATCCCCCCCCAGGGCCCGACCGACCCACAATCCCCTGGTGCCGGTCACCAGCCAGGGAGCACTGACTTCCCAGGGACACAGAGAGCCTGCCGGTGCCCCTCACTCCTGACCCACAGCCCCTGCTAGCCCACCCTGGGCTCCTGCCCCCCCAGCTCCGCCGGTGCCCCTCACTCCTGACCCGCAGCCCCTGCTAGCCCACCCTGGGCTCCTGCCCCCCCCAGCTCCGCCGGTGCCCCTCACTCCTGACCCGCAGCCCCTGCTAGCCCACCCTGGGCTCCTGCCCCCCCCCAGCTCTGCCGGTGCCCCTCACTCCTGACCCGCAGCCCCTGCTAGCCCACCCTGGGCTCCTGCCCCCCCCAGCTCTGCCGGTGCCCCTCACTCCTGACCCACAGCCCCTGCTAGCCCACCCTGGGCTCCTGCCCCCCCCAGCTCTGCCGGTGCCCCTCACTCCTGACCCACAGCCCCTGCTAGCCCACCCTGGGCTCCTGCCCCCCCCCAGCTCCGCCAGTGCCCCTCACTCCTGACCCGCAGCCCCTGTTAGCCCACCCTGGGCTCCTGCCCCCCCCAGCTCTGCCGGTGCCCCTCACTCCTGACCCACAGCCCCTGCTAGCCCACCCTGGGCTCCTGTCCCCCCCAGCTCCGCCGGTGCCTCCTCACTCCTGACCCGCAGCCCCTGCTAGCCCACCCTGGGCTCCTGCCCCCCCCGCCCCCCTCAGCTCTGCTGGTGCCCCTCACTCCCGACCCGCAGCCCCTGCTAGCCCAACCCTGGGCTCCTGCCCCCCCAGCTCTGCTGGTGCCCCTCACTCCTGACCCACAGCCCCTGCTAGCCCACCCTGGGCTCCTGTCCCCCCCAGCTCCGCCGGTGCCCCTCACTCCTGACCCGCAGCCCCTGCTAGCCCACCCTGGGCTCCTGCCCCCCCCCCCCCTCAGCTCTGCCGGTGCCCCTCACTCCCGACCCGCAGCCCCTGCTAGCCCAACCCTGGGCTCCTGCCCCCCCAGCTCTGCTGGTGCCCCTCACTCCCGACCCACAGCCCCTTGCAGCTCCCCCCCTTCTGGGAATTGTTGACACATTTGCTCCCGCAGGGGCTCCAGTCTCTGCTGGTGACTCCCAGGATCTCTCCGGCTGCTCCCAGCTGTTCCTGACAGGTGGCAGGTGGGGGAGGGGTCTTTGTGTCTGCAGGATGAGGGGGGGGGCCCTGGGCCCCCCCCAGAGTGGGTCCCTGCCTGGGCCCAGCCTGTCCCAGGGGGGTCAGAGATGGCAGGTAGAATCCAGTGAAAGATTTCACCAATTCTAGACGTGGCAGGAATCGCGGGGGGGGAGGAGAGATCTGCCCCCCCAGGTTCCCAGCCCCCATCTGTCTCTACAGGGGCACCCTCACCCCAGCTGCCTGGTGTGGGGCCAGGGCTGGGAGCCTGAGGGGCAGAGCCGCTGGGGGTGCAGGGAGGGGAACGGGGGTTGTCCCCCCAATATCCCCATAGCACCCGCTCCGTGGAGCACAGCAGCCAGCGGGAGGAGGACGGGGTGCGGGGGGGGGCTTCCCCCTCTAGGGGGCGCCACTTCTGGGGCTGGGGTGAGGACTGGCCTGCGGGGGCGGACATGGGTCCCTGCCCCTCCGGGGGACAGCTCAGATCCGGCCCCCCCGGACCCACAGAGCCCTCCCAGCCCCGAGAACCCCCCGTTGCCCCACAGCGCCCCCCCGAACCCTCCCAGCCCCACCCGGGCACCTTCCGGGGGAGGGGGGGGCCGCGACGCGAGTCCGGGGGATTCCCACCGGAAACAGCACTTCCGCTCCGCGCCCCCCGGCCCGCTTCGGGGCGGGTCTTACCGGCCCCTCGCTCCGCACCGGGACCGGGACCGGGACCGGGCAGGTCAGGCCGCTCCGTTGCGCTCGGCTCCGGCGGCGGGACCGGGGGGGGCGGGAGCAGGAAGCCGCTGCCTTTTCCGGGCTCCCCCCCCCCCCGCTCCCTGCAGCGCTTCCTGGCCGGGCCACTAGAGACCGAGACCCCCCCAACCCCCCAACTCCCCTGCACCGCCCCCTGACTGCACCCCCAGATCCCCCTGCACCGCCCCAGTCCCCCAACTGCCCTGCACCGCCCTCTGACAGCACCTCCAGCTCCCCAACTCCCCCGTACCGCCCCCTGACTGCACCCCCAGATCCCCCTGCACCGCCCCAGCCCCCCAACTGCCCCGCACCACCCCCTGACTGCACCCCCAGATCCCCCTGCACCGCCCCAGCCCCCCAACTGCCCCGCACCGCCCACTGACTGGACCCCCAGTTCCCGACTGCACCCCCGCACCACCCCTAGCCCCCATTACACCACCCCAGCCCCCAAACCTTCTTGCACCCCCTGCTGCACGCCAACCCCCTGCACCCCCACTGACTGTACCGTCTAGCATGACCCCACTACGCTGCCACAACCGTGCACCGCCCCCTGACTGCACCCCCAGCTCCCCACTGCATCCCTTAGCCCCCCTGCACCGCCCCAACCCCCTACACCGCCACTGATTGCACCCCAGCCCCCCACGGCAACCCCAGCACTCCCTACACTGCGCTCTGCACCCCCCCAGCCCCCCCGCATCCTGCCCACCTCCCCCGCCTTTCCTGCGCCCCATCCAGCCCCCCGTACCCCTACCTCTACCCCACCGACTCCCCTGGACACACACACACCGGACCCAGAAGTTTGGGGTACAAACTTTCCAGTGTGAGCACCTAATGATCGCCCGCCCTGCCCTGCCCTCTACCCCGCCCCCGCGTGCCGGGCCCGATTCCCCCGGGAAGGTGGGGGGGAGGGGGGTCTGAGCTGGGCCTGGAGTCTGCGCCCCTCCCCCACCTGCTGCGTGCGCGCCCTCTGGCGGCGAACCCCGGGTGCTGCGCCTGCCGCGCCAGCCCCGTCTGAAATTACCGCGCAGGGAACTAACCCTGCGGCCCAGAATAGCGCGGCCTGGCGGGGGCGGGGGCCGGTTGTACCGGGACCCCTCGCTTGGCGCTGGCATGCAGCTGCCTCTGGAGTGGTGCGGGGGCTGTTTGTACAAGGACCCCTCACACAGGGGCAGGGGCCAGTTATACAGGGACCCCTCGCCTGGCGCTGGCATGCAGCTGCCTCTGGGGTGGGGCAGGGGCTGGTTACAAATCTCCCCACACAGCAGTTTGAGAGAGAAGCTGAAGAGGAAAAGCCTGCATCCCACTGACGCGGCCGGGGCCAAACGCAGGCAGCAAAGTGGCATTTGGCCCAGGGGTCCCGACCTGACCCCCCGGAGGCCCCACCCCACGCCCTGCCACACAGCGCCCCCTAGTGCCGCACTGGGCTCAGCACTGGCTGCCAGGGGACTCGCACACACCTGCAGCGCAGTCCCTGGCCGGACCGACAGGGGTCTCGGCAGGTGCAGGGAGGGGATCTCCCCTCTGGGCTTGGCGCAGGGGCCACGTGGCTGGATCCGTGCCCAGTGCTGGGCCCTGTGCTCCCCGCGCCTGGTGCTGGGCCCCCCACATTTCCTGCGGCTGGTGCTGGGCCCCCTGCGCTCCCTGCCGGCTAGTGAGACGCTGGGGAGGGGCCGGAGCAGAGCCCTGAGGATGATTCAAGGGTTCAAAGCCCTGCCCCAGAGCCAAGCTGCCAGGAGCTCCCACTGTTCAGCCGGGCCCAGGGAGGGTTGTGGGGGACTTGGTCCCTATCTCTCGGCTCCGGGGTCGGGGGCTCTTCACTTCAGCAGCGAAAGGCCAGACGCGCCCTGGCCGGGAGGGGGAGCTAGACCCGGTCGGACAGGGCATTGGGAGACCACAAGCTGGACCACGGATCCCCCGTCCCTGACCATGTGAAATCCCTGAGCTCTGAGATCTGCTCCGGTGATGGTTTGGGGGCCGGGCTGTGGCCTGTGTGGTGCACACAGATCCCTACTGCCCTGAGAATTCCCACCCCACTCCCTGCAACACAGGTCCCCTCGGCTGGCCCTGGGGACCAGAGAGTACCCCCCCGAATCCCCCATCCCAGTCCCCCAGCACCGTGGAAGTCTCCTAGCCAAGCGTGAAGCCTGCCAGCAGCTGTTCGAGCTAGTGCGTGAGGCCGGAAGGCTGCAGAGCTGGGCAGGACCCGCGGGGGCGGGCATGCAGTGGGGCGCATCTCCTGCTGATGGGCACCGAGGAGAAAAGCCAGGACCCGGACGGACGCTTTGCACATGCAGAGCCGGCTGCAGCACGCAGGGCTTCTGCTCCGCACCCCGGCACCAGGAGACGTGAACCCCGACCACCATGGAGACGGGGCCAGCGTGGGTCTGTGTCCTGATCCCCCTCTGCCTCTTGCCGGGTAGGTTCCACGAGGGATCTGGGGGGATGGGGAGCCCCGGCAATGGGCAGAATCACAGCTGAAGCTAAGTAATCTGCCAGCAGCGCTGGGCCGAGGGAGACGGACTGGCTGGGCAGAGCTCTCCGTTCAGCGCCCCACAAGCACCCAGGCCCTGCCCTGGGGCAGATCAGCCAGCGCCCCCTAGAGGGGAAAGGCTCCGTGCCCATCCCCCCATCCCCTGAGCGAGCCAGTCCCCCCTGCTCTGGGACCGGATCAGGGCCAGCGCCGCCTAGAGGGGAAAGGCCCCGTGCCCGTCCCCCCATCCCCTGAGCCAGGCCAGCCCCTAAACCCCCAGAACAGGGTCAGGTGTAGAATCTGGCCTTTTCTTTGCTAGTTTCACTTCCTGTCAACAGAGACTGAAAGGAGGAACTGAAAGCATCTGGAGGCTCTGGTATCAGGGGCTGCAGCTGAGTGATCCGAATGGGGGGGTGGCCCTGGGGTGCAGGCATCTCTGAGCCCCTGGCCCCATCCCCGCTGTGCAGGGTGGCCTGTTTCTGGGGCGGCTGATTGTTCCTGGTGGTTTGGGGGCTAAGGGTTAGTTCCTTTTTTTTAATCTCTGGGGTGGGGTCGGATGCAAATCTGTGATATAACAGACAGAGGGACAGACAGCAGCACGGGATGGGGGGAGCTGATCCAGGGAAGGTGCAACTCACTGATCCATCTGTCACAGACTTACACCCACCCAGTCCTGCAATGCCTGGCAGCAAGGGGGGGAAGCCTCCCCTGCTCTAACCACCAGCCCCCACTCCCCTCCCAGAGCCGGGGAGAGAACCCAGGAGTCCTGGCTCCCAGCCCCCCTGCTCTAACCACTAGAAGTGAGCCCCATCTCACTCTGTGCCCACAATCTCCTTGCTCTGGGTTCTGGGGGTGATCGGGAGCCGTGGCGGAGGGGGGAGAGGGTTGTAGGAGCAGAATAGGCCCCCTCACCTGCAGTCTCTGCTGCTAGGTTCCGGGGGGCCTGGAGTCAGTGAGGGGCTGGGGGGCCAGGGCAGCCTCCCTCCCACCCTGCTGGCTCCCCACCCTGGATAGCCTGGTATTCCCCCTAGGTCAGACCAGTGCCCCATCCGGCCCAGCATCCGCCTGCCCCCTGCTGCCCCAGATCTTCCTCCCCAAAGCTCATCCACGCAGGCTCGTCCCACACAGTATTCCCCCTCCTGATCCCCCGCCCCTGTCCTGCCCGGTATCCCCCCCAGATTGTCCCCCAGGCTTGTCCCACACAGTATCCCCAGCTTGTCCACCTAGGCTTGTTCCACCTGGTATCCCCCTGAATCCACCAGGCCCATCCCCAAGGCTCCGGCTGGTGAGCTGTGGTGTGTCCCCACCCCCACAGGACATCTTTGCCACGAGCTCTGCACAAACACGACAGCGCTGTGCAATGGGACCACCTCGAATGTGACCGAGGTCCTCCCGGCCCCCAGCACCCCTTGGCCCAGGCGCCCCGTGGTCAGGGTGCAAACCAGCCCGGCCGCCCAGCTCCTGGCGGAGAACAGCCTTGTGAAGGTGGAGGCTGGCCTCACCTCTGTGACTGTCCCTGAGGGGGGCCGGGCGACCCTGGAGTGCCGGTTCGAAGCCCCGTCTGGGGCCCGGGTCACCTGGAGCCGAGCCTCTCGGAACTGCAGCGAGCCCATCCTGGTGGCCAATGGCACCGGTCCCCAGCACAGCGTGGCCATCACCGCAGGCACCGGCATCTCCATCCTCAGCTTCCACTCCGCCAGGAAGAGCGACATCGGCCTGTATTTCTGCCAGGTGCAAACTGACGAGGCCTGGGGCCAGTCGTGCGGCACCTACCTGCGGGTTCGCAGTGAGTGAGGGCCGGGGGTCACCGGGGGCATGCAGCAGAACAGAAGCCACCTGGCCCAGGGTGGCTGCGGGGTCCCCAGTCAAACCCCAGCTGGGACAGTTCCCTTTGCCTCCCTCAGTCCCCCTGGGCCTCTCTGCTGGTAAACAGCTGGGGGGGGGAGGCGGGGAGTCTGTGCAGCTGGCCTGCCCTATGCCAGAGGGCCCTGCGTGGTGTGTGTGGGACCTCGTCCCGCCCCAGAGGGGGCTGCGTGGTGGTGAAACTCGTCCCACCCCAGAGGGGGCTGCATGGCAGTGGTGGGGGAGGCTCTGGGGACTTTGGAGCGGAGCTGACCCCCTCCCCCTGGTGTTGCAGAACCCATCCCGGTTCCATTCCTGAACATGCGGGAATCCACCAAGAACCAGCTGATCACCGCCGAGGGCATCCTGCTCCTGTTCTGTGCTGTGGGGCCCGGCATCTTCCTCCTCTTCAGGGTGAGCCCCTCGGTCCTGGGACCCCCAGACACTGACCGTGGGCTGGGGCCTGGCCCCCCGCCCTGGGGAGCCTACATCAGGGTCCCGCTAGTGCCTACGGGCTGCTTTGATTGGGGGGGGGCAGTGTGATCCCCAGGCAGGCTCACTGTGGGGGTGGGGTGAACGCCGCGCGGCCCCTGCCTCACGCCTGCTCCCCTTGGCTGTTGCAGAAGAGATGGGAGAATGAGCGGCTGCTGCAGTCCAAGAAGAACGAGTACGAAGAGGAGAATCTGTACGAGGTGAGCTGGGGGGGCGCAGGTGGGGTTGTGTCGGGGAGGTTATGGGAACGGGAGGTCCCAGCCTTTGGCTCCTGCCCAGCACAGCTAAGAAGGGTCAGCCAGGATCCCTGCACGGAGGGGAGGCCCCCAGTGCTGCAAAGCGCAGAGTGGGGTAACGTGGAGATTGCCCTAGGGGGCGCTGGGCTGCAGGGAGCGGGGTGTGGGGCGCTGGCCCCTGGCAGTCAGTGCTGGCCCCAGTGAAGAGCTAGGGGGCACTGGGCTGCAGGGCGCAGTGTGGGGGGCTCAGCGGGGGGCGCTGGCCCCTTGCAGTCAGTGCCGGCCCCAGTGAATCGCTAGGGGGTCACCCAGTGCTTCTGGACACCCCACCACTGCTGTGTGAAGTGCTCTGAGTCTGTGTGGGGCAGGAGGGGCTGGGAAGCATCAGCCGCTGTGACTGGGCCCCGCCCTCCCCACATGGCCCCTATGGGGCAGGTGCCGGGGGCTGAGCCCCTCCCTCGGTCTCCAGACGAGCCAGCCCCCTCTGCTTTGCCACACTAGGGCCTGAACCTGGACGAGTGCTCCATGTACGAGGACATCTCGCGGGGCCTGCATGCCACCTACCAGGACGTGGCCAACCTCCACGTGCTCGACATGCAGCTGGAGAAGCCGTGAGGGGGGCACCGGCTGTGACCCGGGGACCTCTTGGTGCCAGCTGGGTCCCTGGGTCTGGTCTCTCCACGGCAGTTTGTCCCAGGCTGCTGGGTGAGGCCTCCGCCGCAAGCCTGCGTCACCCTGATTGTCGCCACGCTGGGAGGGGAGGGGAGTTGTGCGTTTACACGGACCGTTCTGCTCTGGGGGCCTGGGAGCCGGGTGCTCTCCCCAAGGGGAGAACCGAGTTCCTCTCAGGCAGGAGACGCTTGTCGGGCTAAATGTCACGTCGCAATGGGTGCGCTCCCCACTGAGCGAAGTGCGGGGCAAGGCACGGTGAACTCGCCGGGGAGATCTCAGCAGACCCCGCAGCAGCGGGAAGTGTGGACCGATGGCAGAGGGTGCAGAGATCCACCCGGGTACCCTTCACCTGGGGACAGACTGCCGGGGTGCTTGTCTTACAATGGGGGGGGGGGCGGGGGTGTCGCAGCCCACTGAGTCGTTAATTTAGGTGAGCTAAACTTCATTAGCGCAGCAGTGTCTTGTCACTTCCCGCTGGGCGTGTTATGAGTTTATTTTACATGTAGCCGTTTCTCTCTGCCTCTCGCTGTCACTCCAGTCTGTTCAATAAACGTGTCCGTGTTCTCTCGCTAAACCAGCGGCTCTCAAAATGTCTGTACTGACAACCCCTTCCACACAGCAAGCCTCTGAGTGCGACCCCCCTTATCAATTAATTTGTATATTTAGCACCGTGATAAATGCGGGAGGCAAAGCGGGGTTTGGGGCGGAGGCTGGCAGCTCCCGACCCCCAGTTTGAGAACCCCTGCTCCAAACCAAGGGCTGTGCTGGGGGCTGAGCGGTAGCAAAGGGCAGTGGCTTCCCTGGGGGCTCTGCTGCCAAGGCCGTTCTCTGCCATGGGGCTTCTCGGGATTTGGAGGCAGAAAGGCTCCAGATCGCACTGACTCGCTCCAAGCCTGGGCTACTCTCCAGCGCCTCACACAACAGGGCTCCAGCTGGAGTTTCTCCTGGCTTGGCCTCACTCCAGCCCCCGGGAGGTTTCTCTGGGTTCAGATTCTTGGGGAGTTTGGCCCGGAGGGGGTTGTGTTGCCCTACTCAGACTAGGCAAGACACCCCCTCTGCCTGCCTCGCTCACACACACAGCCGGGTCACCGGGGGACAGTCGGGGGCTGCTCTGCTCAGAGCGGTAGACGAGCCCTTGGGTGTGGGGGGGTCGTTTTTAGAGCACTGTCTGGCTCAGACACAGAGCAATCGCCCTCACCCGCCTGCCCAGTCAGTCTAGCCCCAGGGGCCGTTTCTCTGCCCAAACCATAGGACTAACTCCTCGGGACCTGCTCCAGCTGCCCCTGGGTACACTGTCTGAACCCAGGCCTCTCCCTGCCGGGTGGGGCAACACCCATGACCCCCTGAGCTTCGCTAACTGGACAATTTAATGCTCAATCAAACAACAAGCTGTTTATTTTCCAAGGAGAGCGGTTGCTATCGAGTGCCGCAGGCTGCGGCTGTGTAAGGCAGAGGGTGGAGGGCTTGCGGGAACAGAGCCGTGTCTGTTCGAGCTCGGCTCAATGAGTGAGGTCAGCGAGGCTCCCGTCTCCGCCCAAAGTCCAACATTTTCGTGACCCCTCCTCCTAGTACCTGCAAGAGTAAAATGATATGGGACAAGACTGATTACAAGCAGAGCTACATTTCCATGCACTTTGCTTTAATTGTAATAAAGTTTCCATGCCCCGGGACACCCCTGCCTCTGGTGTAACATCTAGGAGTGGGAGTCAAGGAGCAGGAGCCATGGGGGTTGTACAAACCAGTCCCTTCCCCCTCCAGGAGTAAGGCCAGGATGAGAGCGGAGCAGCAGCTCTAGGTAGTTACGGTTGAGATTTAACAGAGGACTTTTCTAAATGCTCTGCAGTCTACATGCTTCCTTGGGTTGTGTGAGGGCTCTGCCTCATGGGGTGGGGGCAGGCGGGCAGGGTGAGTGGGCCCGATTTGCATCATTTGAGTAAGGGGTAACACAGTTAAGGTGATGTGGTAGGAGGGCAGTTACCTTAATCCTGTGGTTCCTGGGTTGCAGAGGTTTAAGTTTACCCTCTGTAGTCTGGGAGGGAACGAGAGGGGGCTGGGCAAGCTTCACTCTGCATTAACATTTCAGGGCAGTTAATAGAAGTTTATGAGCCTGCTGCTGCACTTGCTGGATAGAATAGGTCAGGCTTAGAGGGTTGTGCTTTGAGAGCCAGCTGCCTTGGTTGGGTTCAGTCACTGCCCCCTGCTAGTGTTGGGGACCCTGGGGCATGGCCACTAGGTAACTTGAGGGGATGGAAGACCACGAGTGGCGATGAAGCCCCCTCGCACTAGGCCCAGGTGTCCTTGGCCCCCCGTCCCGCCTGGAGGCACTCGCAGCAGCTCTGCGTACTAGGCCCAAGTGTCCTTGGCCCCCCCGCCTGGACGCACACACAGCAGTTATGCTGAGGATCTGCAACAATATGCTGCGGAGTCAGATTGCCTGAAACTAAGCAAGGCCAAACAGGGCAGATATGGAAGAACAATGCTGAATAAAGCCGCTTTATGTATAGTTTAACAGATGATACAGAGAACCAGGGAACTAGCTGGGAACTGGATTGGCTGGCTATATGGATACTTGGGGCAGCTTGCTATTGGATAAGTATGCTGGGAAAAAGGATGTATAAAAGCCTGTGTAACTTCCTGCTTTGGGTGCAGGATTTGAGATTTTATTCTCCCTGTACCTTTTTGCAGCTGCAAATAAACTTTTCTGCTTCTCCACCCCGTTGTGATTATTGGGTGTAGCACACTGGGTAACGAACCACTCAAGCTGTTGTTCAGCCTCTCGGCACTGGGTGCCGGCAACAGCTTTTGGCGTCCCTGGGTGGGCTCGAGGCTGCAATTTAGCCTTGCCCGGACCCCTCCTGGAGGTCAAGGATTGCAGCAAGAACCGACGCCCAGTGCGCACCGGTGAGTTCACTGGGGCCTCGGAGGAGACGCGATTTGATCGACCCCAGAGGGCACAATGGTGCAACGCACTCATATAGTGGAGAAGCAGTTGTGGTGGACAACGGTGAAAAACTGGTCCCTTGGATAAGGTAGGAACCTTTTGAAATCCGGATTATATGCTCTGTTGGAACCTGGGGATGCCCAGAGTTACCCTGTAGGTATGGGACAGGGACAGAGCTCAGGGGTTAGGGCACAGTGTATACCCCTAGAATGCATTCTAGCAAACTGGAAGGTATTTGGTGTGGATCCGATGACTAAGAACCAATTAAAACGATTCTGTACAGTTGACTGGCCTCAATATCAACTAGAGGACCAGGAGTGTCAATTAATTACAACACGATCCTCCAATTAGTTTTGTTTTATCAGTGAATGGGTAAATGGAATGAATATTTGTATGCACAAGTGTTTATGGCTTTAAGAAATAGAACAGAGCTGTAATTCTGCAGAGTTGTAATATGACTCCAACTGATTCGGTAGTAGCTAATGTTAGTCCCCAGAACCCCCCCCCAACTGTAATGGCAGAGCCGGTGTCCCCTTCGGCCCCCACACCTCCACCGTATAAGGGTAGGATGCCTCTGGTTACAGAGATTGCCCCCTCGGTGGGACTCTATCCTTTGCTTACCGAGACTGTTGTGGCTTGCCCAGGGGCAGACGGACGTCAGGCTACCACTATGCAAGTTTACACCATTGTGCCATTCAATCCAATAGACTTAGCAGCTTTTAAAACACAGGCTGGGGAATTCTCAACGAACCCAAGCAGGTTTATTTCAGTCTTTGAGGGGTGCCTCGGCAGTCACAAGCCGGACTGGGATGATTGTAACATCCTCCTGCGAACCCTATTGTCTGAGGTTGAAAGACAACAGGTTGTGTCCAAGGCAAGGGAGGAGGCGCAGAGATGGTACGACCGGGATCGGTATCAATGTCCCTGACCCGGATGCACAAGTCCCCCGAGCAGACCCCAGGTGGGATCCAAATGATCCTAGGGCTATGACCCGCCTTACCTCCTATAAGGAGTTGCTTTTGCATGGACCCCGTCACTCGGCTGTCCGACATAATAATTGGGCAAAGCCATATGAAGTAATGCAGGATTTAAAAGAAATCCCAGGGACCTTTCTACAGCGTATTCGGGACACCATTCGACAGAACACTAATGCAGACCCCGATGATCAGGCAACTGAGTCAACTATTAAGGGAATTTTTACGAGCAGAGCAGCCCCTGATATTAAGAGAAAGTTACAAAAAAGGAGGATTTAATGGGCATGACCATGGCACAAATCTTAGAGACTGCAAACCGAGCTTATAGTCTGAGAGAGACAGAGGAGGAGAGAAAGCAAGTGAGATTGATGGTAACAGCGGTACAGGCCGGCACTAAGAGAAGTGGCTGGGGAGGAAGGGGCCATGGACGCGACTGTCCGGGCCCGCAGGAGAGACGACTGGGTTGCAATCAGTGTGCCCTGCGTCGACAGGAGGGACACTGGAAAAATGAGTGCCAAAAGAGGAAAGAAAAGGGGGGGTGCCCCTATGATGGCGATGGCGGAACAGGAATAGGGGTGTCAGGGGAGATGGACCACTCTACCCCCGGAACCCCGAGTAAAGATGCGGGTGGGAAGCTCAGAAATAGATTTTTTAGTGGACTCTGGAGCGGCCCGAACTGCCGTAAATCGACCCCTTCGGTTGCCAGTAGCAGATTCCCTTACTGTGGTGGGAGCCACAGACAGGGACACCAAGTGCGCAGTGTATGCCCAGCGGAATGCGCTTTGGGAAACAGGACTATATCCCACAAGCTGGTATACCTCCCTGAGTGTCCAACGCCTCTGCTGGGACGGGACCTGCTCTGCCGCCTCGGTGCCACCCTGCATTTTACTGAGGATGAAATAACCCTTACCTTACCCCCTGTGACAAAGTGGGACTGTTCTTAATGTTTCCTCCGAATATTGTGGGGGTGCCTCAGTTTCCCCTGTGCAGTTCTTAAGTCTCTAGGGGGTGGGATAAGGGTGTACGATCCTGCAGAGCCCTAGAGGGCAGGTGTGTGCAGGGGTCTGGACACAGAGAATGGCCAACACCCTGTTTCCTGGCCACTGATGGCCTGGGCCCTTCCCCCCTGCAAGGTGAGAGCTGAAGGGTTGGAGAACAAAGGAATCTGGTGACCTCCTGGCCCTGGAAAGGAACAAAGCCCAGAGGAGGAGGGACTGGAGGGAGTTTCAGTTTGGGGCTGGCTGGGGACATGGAGTGAAGGGCAGATGTGGTTGTCTGACTCACTGCCCCCCAAAATGGACCCAGCTGAGAGGTCCCGTTCTCTGCACCTGCAAGCTCTGTTTTAGACCATGTTCCTGTCATTTAATAAACCTCTGTTTTACTGTCTGGCTGAGAGTCACGTCTGACTGCGGAGTTGGGGGGCAGGACCCTCTGGCTTCCCCAGGAGCCCGCCTGGGCGGGCTCCCCGTGGGGCGCCCCGGGGGGGGGAGGGGGGGGGGGGGGCCGGGTCAGCCCGAAAGGTGGTGTGTGTGGGTTGGAGGGCCATACCACTCCACCCAAAAGGCTGGCACAGCACCTTGTTTCCTTCTACTGCAGACTGCTGCCTACATTCGGTCCCTAGTCGCGCAGGGTTCTTCCCCCCCCAGTTCCCGACCCCCC